GGTTCAGGGTCTAGGGTTTAGGATTCAGGGTTTAGGGTTTAGGATTCAGGGTTCAGGGTCCAGTTTTTAGGGTTTAGGGTTCAGGGTTTAGGGTTCAGGGTTTAGGGTTTAGGGCTTAGGATTCAGGGCTTAGGGTTTAGGGTTTAGGGTTTAGAGTTTAGGGTTTAGGGTTTAGTGGTGAAGTCTCTCCCGACAGCTAGTCTGCAAGACATGAGCCCTGTGCAAGGCAAGATCTCCAAGAAGCTCCCTACATGCTGCCCTGAATCCTAAACCCTAAAACCCTAAACCCTAAGCCCTAAACCCTAAACCCTGAACCCTAAACCCTAAACCCTAAACCCTAAACCCTAAACCCTAAAGCCCAAACCCTTGAAGGCCAGCTGATCTTGCCTGGCTTCGCAACGACACCCAGTCGTCTGGAAGCGGACCCGCTGACAGCTTCGGCAAGCAGATCCGTCACGTCGACGCCATAGAAGACCTGCCGCGAGTTTAAGGCTTTGGGGCTTTCGGGTTCAGGGCAGGGTTTAGGCTCCACAACCTACTCTTTGGTAGGTTCTCATAATGATCCCTCATATAGAATTTACAAGGGACCCTACAAACTTAAGGGCCCGAAACCCTACACCCTACACCCTAATTTTGGTAGCTTAAGGTAGGGTTTAGGGATCTATCACAACCGGAGACACCAACTCAACCTGTGATCAAGGAATGTCCCTGAAATCATTATGAGTACTTCGCTAAATTAGGGTAGTTTAGGATTTAGGGTTTAGGGTTGAAGGTTTAGGGTTTAGGGTTTAGGGTTTAGGGTTTAGGGTTTAAGGTTTAGGGTTTAAGGTTTAGGGTCTAGGGTCCTTTTTATAAGAGTTCATACTATATCGGGCACTCTAAGAAGGGACCCTACTTCAGAGAACTACCCATGCGGAGGATCCTTCTACGCTTCTCTACTTCAGCAGCACACGACAAACCCTAAACCCTAAACCCTAAACCCTAAACCCTAAACCCTAAACCTTAAACCCTAAACCCTAAACCCTAAATCCTAAACCCTAAACCCTAAACCTGCAGCTCAGATTCATAGCACGGAGTGGAGATCTTGGGGCTTTGGGTTCAGGGAAACCACTGCGGTTTAGGGTTTAGGGTTTAGGGTTTAGGGTTTTGGGGTTTAGGGTTTAGGGTTTAGGGTTTAGGGTTTAGTAGGGTGGAACGATAACATCAGAAAATCGCAACAATGAGCCCTAAACATATAAGTTTCTTTGTAGGCTCCCCAGTAGCCCCTTAAATGATAAGGGCACCCTTTTTCCTACTATTTGGTTGCAACAATAAAGGAGCCCAAAAAGAAGAAAAAGTGCGAAAAGGCATTGCTGAGGAACCTAACGTAGGATCCATAAACCCATAAACCCTAAACCCTAAACCCTAAACCCTAAACCCTAAACCCTAAACCCTAAACCCATAAGCCCCAGGCATTAGGGGCTTGTGAAACTGGGCTTCGCGCCGAGTCAATCTCATCGTTCAGCACCAACTCACAGTTGACGCGATCCTTAGCGGGCTTCATGATTAGGGGCTTGCCCTTAGGGTTTAGGGTTTAGGGTTTAGGGATTAGGGTTTAGGCTTCATGATTAGGGGCTTACCCTAAGACTCCAAGTATGCACATAGTACCTACTTTGGCCAATAAAGTCTGCAAATAGTGCCTACTTTGGGCCATTTGGAATCTTAGGGGCTGAGAGGGATTCGAGTCTAGGCCTAAGGGTTTAGCATGCCGAGTTCAGGATTCAGGGTCTCAGGGGCATGTTTGGGCACCACGTTTGCAAGGCATCGCGGGCTCTGGAGAAGTCTAGGCTCCAAGAATTCGGGATGTCTCCTAAACCCTGAACCCTAAAACCGTAATCCCTATAATCCCTAAACCCTAAACCCTATAATCCCTCAACCCTAAACCCTAAACCCTGAACCCTAAACCCTATAATCCCTAAACCCTAAACCCTAAACCCTAAACCCTCTAATCCCTAATCCCTAAAATCCCTAAACCCTAAACCCCAAACCCTAAACCCTAAACCCTATAATCCCTAAACCCTAAACCCTAAATTCAAACTGCCTCAGCGGAAAATCGGAGGATCGACTTGCGAGTGCAGCCGGAGCAGCGTCGCGCTGCTTGGCGAAGGTCTGGAAGCCGCAGCTCAGCGCCTCTTAGGGTTTAGGGTTTAGGGTTTAGGGTTTATAGGGTTTAGGGTTTAGGGTTTAGGGTTTAGGGTTTAGGGTTTGGGGTTTAGGGTTTACGGGCCTCGCAGGCCGGAAACTGGAGCGAAGCGCAGGCGGCCCCACCAAACTGCAAACCTGGAGTCATGAGTCTTTCGAGGAGCAGGGGTTTTGGGTGTTTCGGGGGTTTAGGGGTTTGGGGGTTTGGGGGTTGGGGGGTTTAGGGGTTTAGGGGGTTTTGGGGATTTCGGGGGTTTCGGGGTTTAGGGCTTTGGGGGTTTAGGGGTTTAGGGTTGTCCTAGGGACCAGGAATCTTGGAGGTCTGCCTGGACCCTGAGCAACCTAGCTTTTCAGGGCTCCTTTTTTGTATGCGTTCCTTAGTGTTCCTTTTAGGGTTTAGGGTTTAGGGTTTAGGGTTTAGGGTTTAGGGTTTAGGGTTCCTTGTCTAATACAAGTCCTTAAAACGGTTGAGGCTTTAACGTAGGGTTTAAGGCATACCTGGGCCATGAATGTCTGGCGAGTTCCGTGGGGTCGGATCTACTTTACATTTGGTTGCTGCCGATGCCCTATATGTAAAGGGCAGGAAAGTTGCATACGGTCCCATGGACCCTTTGTAGAACCCTTATAGAACCTTAAACCCTAAACCCTAAACCCTAAACCTGAAACCCTAAACCCTGAACCCTAAACCCTGAACCCTGAATCCTAAACCCTTTACGGAACCCTGGCGGCCTTCTCGAACCCTCATAGAAGCCCCTTCCCGAGAGCCCGCCAAGTGGCAAGACAAAGTTGTCGGGTCGCCATGGCTAACATAGACGCAATCCTCGCAGAGGGGCGAGCTAAACCCTAAGCCCTAAATCCCAAACCCCTAAACCCCTAAACCCTAAACCCCTAAACCCTAAACCCGAAACCCCTAAATCCCAAACCCCTAAACCCCTAAACCCTAAACCCCTAAACCCTAAACCC